AACGCGGCCGCCCTCGCTTCAACCCAGCCGCCGAAGTTCATCCATCATCTCTGCTCCTTTGTTTGCGCCGCTTTTTGTTTGGCGGAGCGCTCGTGACCGGTTTTCACAGTGGCCAGCGCGGGAGCTAGATTGCTTTTCTGTTGATTTGTGCTGGAGTGCTCGCGGATTGTTGTTACGTAATCCAAGATTAAGTGTGTGGTCGCATCATCTCCCTGAGCACTCAATCAAATGGCGAATCGAGGCGAGTCACGTTGATATACAGCACGTATCCAATCGGCTTTTATCGGAGAGATACATCTTGGAAAGAAAATGGCACCCAAATTTCATTGTAAGCTATACAATGACAATAAAGGCGATTCTGATTCTGATTCTGAAATGGCGCATTTATGTTGCTGACAAGTTTGTTCAAATGGATGTGAAATGACCACCAAAAAGTCATGACCCTCTCGAACTGAGCCAGACCATGTGGAATCGAATCGTACTCCTACTGAGTTGATTCCTTTGGCCCAATCGGCACGTCCTTGATTCGCCTCGCCGAGCAACCGCGACCGCTTTTACGCAGCCTGATGCGCTAAAGAGTCTTTAATGAACATGAAATCCTTATTTTAGTGATGTGTGAGCTCACCTGAGACAGTCCACACGAGCACGGTGAGAACATTGAAAGTCCACACACACCGCGGTAGACTTGTGAGGACGTATTTTAACTCTGTGTGAAAGATGAGGCTACATGTAAAAAAAATGGTCTCTGTTTGGAAGTAGCAAAGTGTTGAAACGTTGCATTGAGCATTTGATGCTTCTGCCAATTTATGAGCATTCTTCCCGCACAGTGTGAAAAACTGTAAATCCTGCACCCAAGGTCCACCATTGTGCAACAACGCGGTGACGGTTTACCTCACATCCCACTTGGCCTGATTTTAAGTCGCCTCATTCTAGCCCACTAATTTATCCCCCCCCCCCCCTCCTGTTTGAAGAATTTTCCAGAAGCTTGCTACCTCGTCCCAGGCGACTACTGCTGCTGGTCAATCCCTTCAGCGGGCGAGGACAGGCCATGCAGTGGTGTCAGACGCACATCCTGCCGATGATCAGAGAGGCCAACATCAGCTACAACCTGATCCAGACAGGTAGCGCCACCACGGCAAATGGACCCTCATGAGACTTTGCCGATGTTGAACAACTGCGTCCCAATTTGCCTCAGAGCGGCAGAACCACGCCAGAGAGCTGATCAGGGACATCTCGCTCCCGGACTGGGACGGCGTCGTCATCATTTCCGGAGATGGCCTCCTGCACGAGGCGAGAATGGAAAAGGGGAACGGGACGCATCACGGGAGGCACGTCGATGCTGATATGATGCGCTCTGATCCGGCAGGTTATAAATGGCCTCATGGAGCGTCCAGATTGGGAGCAAGCGATCAAAACGCCTGTTGGCATTCTGCCTTGCGGCTCTGGCAACGCGCTGGCTGGGTCCATCAACCACCATGCAGGGTAGGAAACATTGCAGCGTTGTCAAAGGTTGCGTCAAAATACGGCGGCGCGGCGGTGCAACATTGAAGCCCTTTGCCGACATCTGCGTTGCAAGTCACGTTTTATCATATTCGTGTAGGTTTGACATGTGCCTTCGGGAGCCTCTGCTTTTGAACTGCTGCTTCCTGCTTTGTCGTGGCGGCGTGCGGCCCATGGACCTGGTCTCCGTGACGACCAGCCCGCCCATCTCCAACAACAGTCGGGCTGCTCCTGCCGTGCCCAGGAGGCTCTTTTCGTTCCTGTCCGTCGCCTGGGGATTTGTGTCCGATGTGGATATCGAAAGTGAGAGGTGAGCAACAGAAACTTTCAACAAATGGGTGAAGAAAATCCCAGAGCAAACTGGGAAAAAAATCCAAGACATAAAAAATAATGGGGGGGAAAAAAATTGAGAATATGCCAACCCACTGGTGCCGAACTGCAAATATGCAGGAGTTGACTGTAGTTTTACACTGTAATATCACAGTTCGCCACTAGATGGTACACGTGCATTTGGCCCTTCCACTGCCCACACTACAGCGTGAGTAGGCCTAATCTTTTTTGTCCAGATTTCGAATGATATGCAGGGCAAACATAATACCTCATTCATTTTAAACGCTGAGTGAGTTGATTTTTGTGGGGGGGGGGACCAAACAATCGGTTTTGCGCCATTCTTGAATGGTCATTTTTATGCAAGGGAGCCTTTGTGTTTGGGAGGAAAAAAATGACAGCGTGTCATTTCAAGTCCTTGTCATGTGACGGCAGGTATCGGGGCCTGGGCTCGGCACGTTTCACCCTGGGCACGCTGGTGCGCATCGCTTCCCTCCGCTCCTACAAAGGTCGTCTGTCCTACCTCCCGCCCTCCGCCGTGGCCTCGTCACCCGACGCCACGCCTCCGCCGCCGAGGAGGCCCCTCTCCCGAAGCATCACCGAGGGCCTGGAGGGCTTCTGCAAACCCCCCATCCATCGCACCTCCTCCGACATGGGCATCAGCGAACAGCGGAGCCTGCGGCGCGGCGAGGGCGAGCGGGAGAAGGAGGAGCGGCAGCGGGAAAGAGAAAGGAGACGACTGCGAGCCCGGGGCGGCGGGACCGGCGTGGTGAGGGCCAGCAGCCTGATGGAGGACAGGGAGAAGGAGAATGAGGGGGAGGTTGAGATGGAGGAGGCCAGGCTGAAGGGCGAACGGGGTGACTGCGCCGTGGGAGGGGACGGCGGACTGGGACAGATTCAAGATGAATGCCACGACGAGGGACGAACCGAGGAGGACTCAAGTGAGACGGAAGAGGAGCGGCATCAGGTCGGCGACGGGCCGGACGGCGGAAAGGGCGAGGGGGTGGTGCGCGGCCAAGAGCTTGATGAGGGCTTGGAGGCGGATGGAGGCTGTTTGGCCTATCAAGATGGACTCCGGGAAGTCAGACAGGCCGTCAGGAAGAACTCCGCTCCTTCCAGCCAGATTGCCAACGCTCTGTTCGCTCAAGCCGACTGCAATTGCAGCCCCTCCTATGGCGTGGAGGACGTGGACCTGGATGGAAGCTACTACCAGAGAGAGGTGTACCCTCTGGATGTCACCCGCGAACGAGCCCTCACCATCTCCTCCCCCTTTCGGCGCCCCCCGTTCGCCTACAAAGCCAGAGCCGCGGACCAGAACCAGAACTCCTCGCGGCCGAGGCCCCTCTCTCTCCTGCAGCACTCGCACTCCAACTCGCTGCCTCCGAAACTTCCCTCCCTGTCCCTCTCTCTGTCCCCCACGCCTCCGTCCTCGCCTTCGTGCGCCTCCCCGCACTCCTCGTCCTACCTGGCCCCGCGCCCCAACACGCCCGGTTCCGCCTCGCCCTCGCCCTCCATACGCACGTCCTCCTCCTCCTCCTCGTTCAGCTTTGACATCGTCGAGCCAGCGGGAGCCCTGAAGAACCGTCCTTACGTCACGCTGCCTTTAAATGTCCCCAGAGATGACTTGTTGCCCCCGCTGGACCAACCGCTTCCCACGCGAGACTGGGTCACCATCGAGGGGGACTTTGTCCTGGTTTTGGCCCTTTACCAGAGCCACCTGGGAGCCGACCTGCACGCCGCGCCGCAGGCCAAGTTCGACGACGGACTCATCCACCTGACCTTTGTGCGGGCGGGCATATCCAGAGCCACGTTACTCCGACTGTTCTTTGCCATGGAGAGAGGAACGCACCACTCTGTCAGCTCGCCCTACGTCAGCCACATTTCCTGCCGCGCCTTCCGGCTGCAGCCTCTGTCTGCGCGCGGGACCCTCACCGTGGATGGAGAGCTCGTGCCGTACGGGCCCCTGCAAGCGCAGGTCAGTTGGATCGCAGCGAATCTCAGCAAACTGTTGCAAATTTCTGCCTTCATTTTTTTTTTCTCTTGCACATGAGGTGGAATTTCTTTTCTGAAATGTCATGAATCACAAAGCATGGCAAAATCTATTGGGCCAGCTGTCGTTGGTCAAACTTAAAAATAAACCAAAAAAAGCCCATCTCAAAAACCTGATTTGCTAGGCAAAAAAAAGGAAAGACGTTTCTTAAATCAGCGTCAAAAATCTGTTTTTGAAGCCAACTCTGATGACAACATAAAAGCCAGATGCACCTTTACCACATGGCAAAACATGTCAACTTTGACAGCGTTACATTTCGACTCCACGATTTGCGAAGACTTCCAACAGAAACGCGAGCCTATTTTAACACCAATAATATGCACGAATAAACCGCGTCGACGTGCACAGACTTCCAGACATTGCAGACATCTCACCATGCAGGCCGCCGGCATACTGTGACGCCCAAAATGAGTGAGCAAATAATCGACAGAATCCAAATCTTCATTTTGAATACAGTCCCGAGTATGAATCTTAAAATTTCTCAACAATATAATGACAGATGATGTGCCTTAATGGGCAAATGAGAGGATGTAGAAGGATGCGAGTCACACCAAATACTGTTCGATCAGCCATGCGTGTCTTGTAGCGACTAGTTGGTTATTATTTCAGGAACGAGCTAGATAACTCGTTCCTGAGATATTAGTCATCTCCTGAAAAGGCCCAAATCTCAGCCAAGAGAAAGTATTATTCACCACATGTGGCCATGACCGTTATCGGTGATGAACCACAGAGACCCTGTTAACGCATGCTCGGATGAGATTGGGATTTGTATCAGTTAAAATGGTCCCACAAATTCCCTTTCCAGTGGTCCGCCATTTTCTTTGGGAATCAAGTTAGTGCTTGCATGTTTTTGACACCTTATCCTTGCGTTGCAGGTTCATCCCTCCATGGCGCGCCTCATTGTTGGTGACTCGGGAGTGCAGGTCACCAGGTTCTAAATCAGGAATTGTTTGAAACACTCACTTCTGAATGATGTCCCTTCTGTTGCTGCGCATGCTCCGAGAGACTGAAATAACCTAGGTTGCACAAACAGGTTGACGAAAAAAAGGGATAACTTTGCCGAGCCATCCATCGATAGAGCAGGAATGCAGGGATTAATTGTGACAAGTTTTTTTTTTTTTTTTTTTTTTTTTTTTTGGAGAATACTGTTCGATCAGCCATGCGTGTCTTGTAGCGACTAGTTGGTTATTATTTCAGGAACGAGCTAGATAACTCGTTCCTGAGATATTAGTCATCTCCTGAAAAGGCCCAAATCTCAGCCAAGAGAAAGTATTATTCACCACATGTGGCCATGACCGTTATCGGTGATGAACCACAGAGACCCTGTTAACGCATGCTCGGATGAGATTGGGATTTGTATCAGTTAAAATGGTCCCACAAATTCCCTTTCCAGTGGTCCGCCATTTTCTTTGGGAATCAAGTTAGTGCTTGCATGTTTTTGACACCTTATCCTTGCGTTGCAGGTTCATCCCTCCATGGCGCGCCTCATTGTTGGTGACTCGGGAGTGCAGGTCACCAGGTTCTAAATCAGGAATTGTTTGAAACACTCACTTCTGAATGATGTCCCTTCTGTTGCTGCGCATGCTCCGAGAGACTGAAATAACCTAGGTTGCACAAACAGGTTGACGAAAAAAAGGGATAACTTTGCCGAGCCATCCATCGATAGAGCAGGAATGCAGGGATTAATTGTGACAAGTTTTTTTTTTTTTTTTTTTTTTTTTTATGGAGAAATGCAAACTGCACCGCATTGCACAGCTGCGGGGTTACGCCAAGCGAGCCCGCGGACGCATGAAAACTGCACAGCCTGGAATAACGAGGGAAGAACAATCGAATGTTAGCTGATTTTTGTTTGCGTTAATTTTTTTTTCCCCCACAGACAGTGCATGATTTGGGGCGATGTGTACGTGATGGTATGCATGCTCAAAAGCACTACCGATATTTTTGCCTTACAGGGGGGAACAACATTCAATTGACTTTGCCGACGAGGCTCGACAGCAGCACCATGTCGGAGCTTCGGTGGTTAACAAAGTTCATTTCACTTACTTTACCTTCAACAGTATTTGATGTCGACATTAGGTTGCACTCAATAATCCTCTGGAGTGCAATGAACGTTCTTTTCGTGCAGCACATGAAAGCCTCTTTCACACGGAGCCGTAACGGAAGGCAATTTATCCACCTCTTAGACAGAACTCGGCAATGCTACGAGTGCGTCCATTAAAGATACTTGGGGCTGTACCGACTAGTCGACCACTGCTCCTAACAGTCAAGCCACGTGATCCAAGTGTAAGGAAAGCAGGCAATTACTCTGCCGCATGCAAAGCGGTCCGCCATTATTTGCCAACAGCGCCAATTCATGGAGACCCCACTGTTGGCCTGGAACGAGGAAGTTGTGCCATCGTTGCCTGGCTGTCCCGGCAGCGAGCGCACCGAATGAGGGGACGCTGGCGCTAACGTTCATACTCTTTTATGTCCAAAATTGTAAGTGTGAATATAAGCGGAGTACTAGTCGTCACTTTTTTTTTTTTTAATTACAGTACTGTACTGAAAAAATACCCTTGATGTCATCAGCCACTAGTCAACATTGACTGGACGTGAATCAACGCATTAGCATTACCTTTAAAAAAAATATATGTAAATTCCCATTAGATAAACTGAGTCTTACTGTAGGAAATAAAGAAAAACAGTCGCGCAAGTTGCCGCGTTTTGGGGATTGCAGGATTTTGCCGTGACTATTTTTCTACACTGACTGTTTCTGCAGAGCAATACGCGCTAGCCAGAAGGAAAGAGTTGTAAAAGACGTCATGTCCAAAGTCTCGGATCAATTTCACACTTGGACAAAAGACGAAGTGCGACTAAAGTGACACAACCGCCTGTCTGCGGTCAAAGAAACATCGTTCGCTAATTTCACATAGCCTCCCGCCGCCGGTGAGAACAAATTGTAACCCTCCCACCGTGTTGAAGGATGGACACAGCTGCCCGTGCACTTTGAATGGCTTTATTGAACAAGGGTAAAAGAATCAACACGGGGGCGTCATCGCACCTGGCCTGCCACTCGTCACAAACCGCCGTCAAGCCACTCAACACGGAGTGGCTAACAGTTTAGCCAACAAACAGCCAGCCAAACTCTCATTCGTGAATTCCATTGTCCCTCAATGGGTCAGGCCTTGACTTGTCAAAATCACACATTGACAGACACCGAACCAACAGTTTTGTGTTTGAAAATGACCGGAGGTTTATGACCCCTTGACGATCGATGTCATTTGTTAGCCTCTCTGCTTGGTTTAGTATTGTGTGCTAGCAGACGTTCAAAGTGATGTTTCTTCAAAATGCGCATCTAACGAATCCCCTTTGGCAGTCAACGGATCAAAAGCCTCTTTTTCATAGAATCGTTCCCCATCTGTCAAATTGACGCTGGTGGTGAAGTCAATTGAGTTTGCTGCTTCAGTTTCTCGAATTTTCGCTCACGAGTGAAACACAAAAAATGTGCCATGCGACAGCTCCAATCTCTAAAAACTCATCACTTGTGTTCCTCGTAAGGAGGAAACTGGACCCCTCCTTCCCGTATTGTTTATTATACAGAAGCGCAACATTAAAAGGGAAGGTCGGGTGATGGTGCATTTTAGAGGCCGTGTGAAAGGGGCTAAAATCACAACACTAGAATGCACACTTGACATTTTAAAGGTGCGGCGTACTTTGCAAGAAAGAAAGCACTAGAACAAGTACCTTAAGAACAGATGCTACAAAAAAAAATCTTTTGTCAATTCGTTTTGAATTATCATTTTTAGCTGGGAAAGTTGAATGTACAAACATACTAAAAACAAAAGCAACACTTTTGCGTGTGGGGTGGGGTTGGGGTCACCATGACGGGAAGTGAATTTGACTGAGCATTGACAACTGAAATCCAGTTCATGTGTCAAGCTTTGCCTTAAATGACCTCACAGATATTTTCAGATGAAATCAAACAACAGGGAGTGACAATTGATGACCTGCTTGGTGTCGATGGAATTATGAGACCTGCTGATGAACTGGTCAAACTAATAACGCGTGCACTGGATCAAACAGTCAAGATAGTGTGTGAACTGTTTGGGTCCCTGTCAGCACAGCGCATGTCCTGGTCATGCCTGGAGATATCAATGCCTTTTGTTTTATAATCCAGTTGAAAATCTTTGACGGGCAAAAAGTGGACGACACCTTTTCACTGCTCACCAGGCTGCTATTTTGCTTGTTGGATTCTGTTTTGTTTTTTTTTAATTTGTGCACAGTACAGCTAGAGTCTACCACAATGAAGTAGGGTTGTAACAACACCACATATAAGAATATCACAATTTACACTTTTGGCCCGTATGAACCATATCAAGAGACTTTTTTAAGATTGACCATCTTTGGATGTTGGAATGGAACAAATGTATTGGACTTTCAATGTCCAGGCCTCTTGTTAATGCCATGCACTCATATACAGTGACTCTGCTTGTAAGAAATTTGCATTTATTACTAAAATGAAGAACAGCATATACGCTTACACTGTACAGTTCATAGTTGTGTATGTTTTCAATAAATGCAACTGAAAAACTGCTATGACTACATTGTGTTGGTTTTTCTCCGGTGATCGAGAATGCAGCTGCTTCACGACTGCAACGACACCACACAAACAACGAAGAATATAGCACTGCAATTATACAGTTGATGTTGAATTGTGTGAAAGTAGTACATCTACATGAAATAGCTTGAGATGCTATTCCTGATGAGTAAATGTGTGCTGATCTCTATGGGCGTGTCCACTAATCCCTCGTTTATCGCGAGAGTTGTGTTCCAACAAGAACCCGTGATAAGTGAAATCTGCAAAGTAGTCTTTATTTTTCACAATTATCACAAATACAATACGGTATTGAATGAAACCAAATATTAAACCTCGATATTATATATATATATATATATATATATATATATATATATATATATATATAAAATTTTGCAGGTTGGACAGCGATGAGGCGCGGAGACTTAACATTAGTCAACAGTCGCTGAGTCAATCAGGATGCAGAACATAATGCACTGTAAAAAAAAAATTGCATGAAAAAATCCGTGAAAACATGAAGCCGTGCAAGATGAACCGTGTTATAGCGAGTGATCACTGTATAACTAGTGTAAGTACTGTAGGTTGGAACAAGTTTAGCACTGACGTTGAAACGTTTAGATTTTAGATAAAAATGTGGCCCAACGTTAAGTTTGGGAAAATAAAACTGCGGAGCGGAAACACTTTATCGAAATAAAACATCGATTTTGAAAGATGACGCACGGACCGGAAACGCTATGCTCGATCAACAGACATCGCTTCCGGTGTGGGCACCTTCTTTGTCTCCGGCCCGACGTATCGAAACCACTAGTGGTCGTGGTTTTTTCCTCCTTCCTTTTACTTTCGAGGATATATTTGCATATATATCCACATTTTCTACTATTGAATGACAGTCGACTCGGAAATATTTATGCCTAAAAGTAAAGCGCCGAAAATGGATGACTTGGACTACAGTAAGTGGCTGAACGAGGAGCTGGTTTTATGGAGACGTTATCGGCAAGCTAGCGGCGGCTAGCCCGAGTCGCTTTTAGCTCGTGTCTGTTTGATTAGGGGCTGACAAAAGAGGGGGTTCAGTGCACAGTCAGACGCAGACGAGCAGAACGAGTTCTTAAATGACTTTTAAAATCGTATAGCACAGTCTCGCCGTGGCTCAGTTCGACTGACGCAGATGTCGGCTTCATATCGATCGATTTTAATATCGGCCAGTGTTTCAGGTCAGGCCGCCCGGTGGACTTTTAACAGCGCCGCTGGGCTTCGCGTTACGCGGCGTCTTATTCTTTAAAATGCTTCTTAATCCGGGCTCGGAACAAGCCGTTTGTTATTGTTGTGTTGGATCCGGGCTGTGGGCGTGGTTGTTGGGACGAGGTGGGGTGAAGGCATCATTTTCGTTTTGGATTCATCTTGGCGTTCCTTGCAGTATGGTGAACTATTGGTCCGGGGGTTCACAAATGGGCTGTCGAGTTAAAGCCCGGTCACTCACGAGTCAATTAAGGTAGCGGTGGCCAACTCCGGTCCTCGATGGGCGCCTTCCTGCATGTTTTAGATGACGCCCTCCTCCAACACGCCAGATTTAAAAGCTCAGGCTCGTTATGAGACTTCTGAAGAGCTTGCTGATGAGATGATCATTTAAATCAGGTGTGTTGGAGGAGCGAGACATCTAAAATTTGCAGGAAAGCCACCCTCTAGGACCGGCGGCCGCCCCCACCAGTTTAAGGTCTTCAAGACAATGTTTTCTTTGATGTAACTGGAAGTTGCAGTCGCTCGCAAAAGCGCACAAAAGCATGGCGTGCCTGGAATTGAACCCCATACTGCTACTATGAGGCCAATAAAACCGCCACTCGGTCATTGTGCCGCCTTACTTAAAGCCCAAATGATCCTGAGCAGGACGCGGAGTAGACAAAAAGGATGGATGGATGCCCTGTCCTCACCATTGTTTGTTTAACTTAATTCTGCCCCCCCCCCCCACAGCACATGCGCTTTCACCTCACTTTTTAACTTCCTGATAACAATGGCAGGTTCCGGCCATTCTTCCCAACTTCAGTAACACTGCTGTTTATGATTTATTTTAAGCTTAAAAAAGAGGAACTCCTGTTTTTGTTATTGTTTTGTTTTTTTGTCAGAGTGCAGTCAGTGTTTGTCGTTCCTGCAACGGCAGCGTTAACAGACTCCTTCTTCTTGCCCGCAGTCCCAGTAGACCTGAGCCCAGAGGAGCGCTCAGAGCTGGAGGACATCCGCAGGAGGAAGGGGGTCCTGTTGCAGGAGATCCAGAGGCTCCGCGAGGAGCTCAGGGAGGCCATTTTGGAGGTGGAGGGGCTGGAGGCCAGCACAGAGGGCAGGTGAGGAGTGGCCACGCGAGGCCCAATTACGGTCATGCGTGATCAAACAATGGCTTGGGCAATTTTAGTCTCAACGTCACCTGCTCACACTTGACTCATGCTTTAAACGGCGCAGCCTATTGTCCTCAGGGTTCCTAGTCGAAGGCCACAGCCACCGTTGTACAGAATCCATGTTAGGACGCTGGCTCATTTACAGTTTGTTTATATTTTCACAATATGACCGAGACGAGTCTGAATTGTTGGGCCCTTGACGTCGCGTCTTCCATTGTCCACTTGAATTCCTCTGCAAGCAACAGTCTTTCTCGAGTCGTAATCGGGCCTCGTCTGCTCTTTGCCGTGCAGTAAAACCCTTCAGAAAAATCGGCATGTGGCGATGGGAAGGAAGAAGTTCAACATGGACCCTAAAAAGGTAGGATTGTCCAAATGTCGCTCGGACAGAGTGTGAGGAGGGAGCATCGGAGGTGACGTGGCGTGTGCTTGTCTTGGCAGGGCATCGTGTTTCTCGTGGAGAACGAGCTGCTCAGACACACTCCGGAGGACATCGCTCAGTTCCTCTACAAAGGCGAAGGCCTCAACAAGACGGCCATCGGCGATTACCTCGGAGAAAGGTGGTGAATTGGAATCTACCGTCGCTCTTAATCGCCTCCTGCCCCTCATTTACGGCTCCGTCTCCGCGCCGCTGCAGGGACGACTTCAACATCAAAGTCCTCCAGGCCTTCGTTGACCTGCACGAGTTCACCGATCTCAACCTCGTCCAGGCCCTCAGGTAAGCGTCAACTCTGAAAAGGAAACTCGTCACGTGTCTCCTTTGGAATCCTGGCACACTCTGCGAGACAAACGTACGGCTTCGGGGAAAGTGCCAAACCCTCGCACGGCACGTACGGCTCAAGCGCAGAGACTCCATTTTGCAAACCGACAGCGGTTCATGCTGAACTTGGGAGCAACCCTCATGATCTCCGCGTGCTCCATTGATCATTTGGTCCAGCGTGCACCCAAAGCTGATTCAAAGACTGATGTGTCTTGCTCGCAGGCAGTTTTTGTGGAGTTTCCGTCTGCCCGGTGAAGCCCAGAAGATTGATAGGATGATGGAGGCATTTGCCCAGAGATACTGTCACTGTAACCCCGGCGTCTTCCAGAGCACTGGTACACGCTCGCATGCACGCACATTTCATCAGGGTTTTTTTTTTCTTCCCCCCTATTTCTGCTCCTGCCGACTGAAAGCGAAAGTGCAGCGGTGCATTTGGACTCAGAAATGCCCCGTTGAACATGTTTTGTGACAGTGACAAAACGAAAAAGTCACCGGCCCACTTTCAGCCGTATCATTGCCCGCCATTTGTTTCGATCCTCCTCTATGGTGCGAACGCACCAAACATTTCACAGCGGGGATCGAACGTCCGTCCACGTTCTTAAACGTCATCGCAGCTCCTGACATCGTTGGCTGAGTTTTAGAAAGATATCCAACCCGCAGATGCACTTGTGTGCGTGTTGTGGGTCGAGCCACTCAACGTTGTTTTGCGGTCGGCCGTAATGGGATGAAAGTTGAGTCCGAGTCGGTTCGCGGCGTTGATATTTTTCAGAAGGAAAGGAGCAGTTTCATGTAAGGGCCGATTATGACGGATGGCCTTGGAAACAAACTAAAAGTAGCGATTCAAAATCCAAAGTGTCATTGCGGCAATGAGCGGGAGCTCGTTTTTCTCTTGAGCCCGCCGCTCTCATTTAAGGCGCCGCGACATCGCTTGATGGAAGGTGGGACGTGGTCGCAAAGGGGGGCTTGAGGAGCATTTCTCAGTTTCGACTGCATGTGAGGGGAGATGTTTGCATTTTGTCAGCGACCGTGCGGCCGCTCTCATGTTTGGTCAAATGCTTCCCCGCACGTAGCACACCGAAAGTCAGTCACATGGCCAACCGTAAAAGGAGATGCCAAAACACCCCCGACTTTGTGTTACTTTCATTTTCACACTTTGCCAGAGCGGCTTCTTTCTTGACATTCTCTTTTCTTACGTTTGAATGCATTTTTGTCCAACACGCGTGACTTATCGCGGCCACTGGAGGTGCTTTAGTTCCTCCGCCTTCCTCTGAACCTGCCGCTCGTTCGCAGACACGTGTTACGTGCTGTCCTTCGCCATCATCATGCTCAACACCAGCCTCCATAACCCCAACGTGAGGGACAAGCCGGGCGTGGACCGCTTCATCTCCATGAACCGAGGCATCAACGACGGAGGCGACCTGCCCGAGGACCTCCTGCGCGTAAGGCGAAGCTTCCGCCCCGTCCGCCGCACCGCGGCGCTCGCGCTGATTTCTTATCTTCTCGCTCCAGAACCTCTACGAAAGTATCAAAAACGAGCCCTTCAAGATCCCCGAGGACGACGGCAACGACCTCACGCACACCTTCTTCAACCCCGACAGAGAAGGCTGGCTGCTCAAGCTCGGTGAGAGAGCAAACGCGGCTCTCGGGCGTTGGCACGTTTGCTGTTTTCTCTTCCGAGGCTTGTTTTTGGGGGGGCGGGTCCCCGCACATCTCTGTCTGTCTACCTGGCAATAAAATGGCGCCCAAAGGGCTCACTGTTGTTGCATGGCATTGGCGGGGCTTGTCGGGTGTGTCACTAATGTATCATGTCCTTCTCTCTCTCTCTCTCTTTTCTTCCTCTCTCGTGTGCCTCTCAATAAATCCGCCGGCCCCCTTTTCATCTTCCGCTTCTTCTCCCGCGGCTTCCGCTGCCGCCGCTTGTTTTCTCAGGAGGTATGTACTGACCAACTTACCGTTGCGTTCGCGGGCGTAGGAAGGTAGCTCGCGGCGGGAAGGGGAAAGAACACTTGCGCAGGTGACTCCTTCTGACTGCCGTCCCTTGTTTGCAGGGGGGCGGGTGAAAACCTGGAAACGTCGATGGTTCATCCTCACAGACAACTGCCTCTACTACTTTGAATACACAACGGTAAGTCGGCACACTTTCCTCATGGAGCCTCGCGCGTTTTACAAAAAAAAAAAAAAAATGTAGTTCACACTTGAATTGAGGCCCTCTCCAGTGGCGTTCCACAAGTGCATGTGGCTTGCAAGCATTTGATGTTAAGAATGGTTCATGGAGCTTTGTATTTTGGGTTTCAAAAGTTCTTGACTGTGCGAAGCCGTTGAAATGAAAATGGTCAATCGCAACGCGTGGTTACGGTGTAGCTTGCGCCGGGTCGTCTTTGTCGGATCTCGCTAGATTGCGCCGGTGTACCTCCCGCTTGGCCCGTCAATCGTCTCAATCATTGAGATTGCTTTCGCTCAAGTCCTTCACTTCCAAAATTTCAAGGCATGTACATTTACGACCAACAGAGTGAAATGTTTCATGATTTCATTTTTAGGTCCAAACAATGCTGACGTTTTGAAGGGAACAACTGAATTTTTTTTTCCTAGACCCTTAAAATTGAGAGTTTGTTAACACACCTTCATGAAACAAAAGAGTTCATCAAACTTCACCACGCGAGCCCAAAGTCACTACTTGAAGCTCTTTGCCACCGCACTCTGCTTGCCTCACTATTGGGAAGAGTTAAAAAAACAAAATCCTCATTGTTTGCAATCTAGACAGAAAAATAGGCAGGAATTGTCCTTCTGAAAAGGATCCGTATGGAGGCGGGCAGTGGTCCGATTGAAGTTGAGCCGTGAAATGATTCATTTGTTCATCGGAATGTTTGGAACGCTTGAGAAGTCGAACTGGTTGGGCGGCTCGTGCCCGGCGGCTCCAAGCCGTCACAATCCTCGCTACGGGCTCCATCTTTTCTGACGGCTTGTGTGAGCTTGCGCGTGGCTCCTTTTCGCACCCCGCCGGTCCCGACTTTGCTCTGAAGCCGTGCCTTTTCCACTCGCAGGACAAAGAACCTCGAGGCATCATCCCCTTGGAGAACCTCAGCATCCGTGAGGTGGAGGACCCACGCAAACCGGTAAGATCACATTCCGCTTTGAGCATTGTTTGTTGGCGGCGAGGCTAGATTTAGCCTGCATGCTTGACACAACTCCAGATTTTTTTTTTTTTTTTTTGGCAAGCGGCACAATTGGGAGAGCAGTGGAACTAGAAAAAAAACAAAAACAAAGAAGAAGAAGAAGAAATGGAGTCAGGCCGGTTCCATCCTGTATGTGGCTGTGTTTTGGGTCGCGGCCAATGTGGGGGCAGCACAAATGCACCGCTGGCCTCTACCCGTGAAATCACACTTTGTCTTTCATTGACTCAAAACGACTCCACCAGTTTGTTGTGTATATGGAAGAACATGATGTGTTTTCGATGCTCCATTTACATTGATACCTTGCTTGAAGGTATCAATGTAAACACAAAAAATAGTAAGCGTGAAATCAGAATGGGACACTGGCACTTGCCGTGTCCAGTCGGGCTCGAATGAGTTTTTACGCGGCCATTCTCATCCGATCCCAACAGAACTGCTTCGAGTTGTACATCCCCAACAACCGCGGTCAACTCATCAAGGCGTGCAAGACGGAGGCGGATGGCCGCGTGGTGGAGGGAAACCACATGGTGTACCGCATCTCCGCCCCCACGCCCGAGGAGAAGGACGAGTGGATCCACAGCATCAAGTACGTCAACAAATTACAAGATGTGGCAAAAGCTTCTTTATTTGACAAAGTGCATTGGAATCACCGGGCACGCTGAACGCCACATTTCAGCATTGCAGTGTTGACAAGTTGCTGACCGTAGCGTTCCAATTTTAGTAGATGCGAAGCCGAAGCCATCGAGATCGTTCCAGCGAATGAAAATATACTTCTGCAAATCGTGAAAATAGCGCATGCATGCTCTCTCTCTCTCTATTACACACACAGTATATAATAAAAATGTAATTTTGGCATCCATTTTGACTGAAGTTTGTGTGCACGTGTCACGCCAGATCTGCGGTCAGCGTGGACCCCTTCTACGAAATGCTCGCTGCCAGGAAGAAACGTATATCGCTGAAGAAGAAAGAAGAGCAGGCCTAGAGTGTTACCTGCGCCGTCCGCCTCCTTTTCCCCACCTCTTCCTCCCTCCGAACTCCTCCTCGTCGTCCCTGCAGCCGCCACGTTGAACACACTGGCCGTCATCAACGCGGGCGAGGGACCGTGCCGTCCTCAAAACAGGAACTCTTCGGAAAATTCTAGCTACAAAGGCTCATCACATGCAGTGTTCCCCCAAGTATGTGCAATTTTTTGGTTTTTCTTTTGGTGGTCTTTCTGGGATGCCACAAGATTGCGACAAAACACGGTCTCATATAAAAGTGGTGCTTTGGTGTCATTTTGTGATAATCGCGTGTCGAGGCACTATGTTGAAGTGAGTGGAGGAGCTTCCACCCAAAAGCTTGGCCTCGCCCACCCAAAAGCTTTGTCACAATGCTTTCCTGTTCTATGGGCCAGGGCCTCAATAGAAGCTCCTCCTCCCCGCACTTCAGCATCCAGCCCGACACAACCAAAAGCCGCAAAATGGCGACAATAAAGCTCCTCAACTCACTGCAAGATAAGGCCCAAATGCTGCTTTTCTATTAGGCGGGGCAATGGCATATCGAGTAGAAGCTCCTCCCATCACTTCAACATGGCTCCTCAGCACAAAGATGCCAGAGGATGGTGCCAAAGCACTACTTTTGTGTGCTTTGGTGCCACCCTGTGGCATCTCAGGCGTAGGATTAAAGCACTTTTTTTTTTCTTTTTTGAAATCAGCCAGGGCTTTGAATACAAGCTCCTTCTCTCACTTTTGTCACCAGAATGGTGCCAAAGCACCACTTTTCTATTTATACTTTGATGTGATTCGATAGCATTTCAGAAAATACACCAAGCAAAGTGAACAAACAGAATAAGTAAAAAAAAAATAAAAAAAAAAAACATGAATTTACGAGAGAATCACGACTAGGCAGGCAGGGGACACTTATTAATATAAGCAATTGTTGGATTTACATCTCCCCTCTGAAAAAAACAAAAAAGTCCTCATTACTCCAGCCTCCATTCTTGACAAGTAGATGAAGAGGTGACATTTTGACCTCCTCCTCAAGTGGCCCCCTCATCCAAGGCAGCTCATGACATTGTACGACTTTTTTTCTCTTTATGTTCTTGTAAATAGACGTTAGCATCTTTGTTTACAGCACACCTGGAGAGACCATATAATTTATTGTTCCTGTTTTGTACGAGCTACTGTTAGGAGCACACGTAGACGGGCGTGAAGTCGCCAACGAGTCTTTAGCGTGCCTAGAAGAACCGCCAGGATATGTGCCGTTTTGCCCGGTGAAGCACAAGCCTCCATGAAATGATCCCACGTTGTTTTCTTGCATTTCTTTGGCTTCCCGCTGTCCACGGAACACAAAATATCCAGCGCTCCATCCAGGTCAAATGAGTCCTTTGACCTTTTTTTTTTTTTTTTTTAAATGAACCGGATTTGACACGTTCATGCTTTTTGTAGATGGTAACTGAACTCAAGATGCGTTATTTGTTTTCACTGCACTTTATTAGTTCGTTGTGCCTGGCGAGCGCGTCAGTCAACCAGCTCGGCAATAAGTGAGAGCGGGGCTGGGGAACCGCATGCAGGCCAAGCTCAGAGGAAGTCTTCTAAAAAGACATTGGTTCAATCTTTCGATCATATTTTGATGGCCCCTGTTGGAAAACAAAAAAACGGGTTCCCCACTGCACGTTGATACAAAACGCGATCACCTGCTCGCATTCAACTTAAGAAGTTCACGACCTTCATGCTCTGTAGTTTTTTTTTTTTCTCTATAAATATTTTAGTTCTTGATTTAAAAAAAAAAAGTAGCATGAGGCTGAATGATGACGCTGATCTTATTTGGACCTTTGTAGCCGCGGCGACGGCCAAGCGGATGAACACAAACTTTGTGAGTTGCCTTTACGTTAGTCGTTTCTCTCCCAAAGCTTGCAAAGGCCCGGCCTTTTGCCAGTCCCGTATGTGCTTCTGTGTATTTGCCTGTGGGCCTTCTTCGACCTTCTGGAAATTCTTGAAGTGCAAAGTTGCCAAAAAAAAGAAAGTCAAAACATCCAAGTGTTACAAACTGCACAGCAAATTTCTTTTGTTTCTGAGCCACCTCTTTCTGAAAATGTCTTTATTTTCTATTTATTTATTTACTTATGCCGAAGTGAAGATGGAGCTAGATATGATGTAAATGTAGCAAATGGTGCAAACCGCGCACACACACACACCCACACACATTGGTGCCAGTAAACTACAGTGTGACAATAAAAAGGTGATGATTGACTGTTGATTGATATGTGTTTCTATTCATCTTCATTCAAGTGGCCCCAAAATAAGAAAAACAGATGACGAACAATTTGGATTTGGGGGATTTAAAAACAAAAGTAACAAAATTTATTCCAATTTTTTTTTTTTTTTTCCCCCCCAACCAACATGTGCAAGGACGAATAACCGATCAGACACAACGTATCCACAATCTCATAGCTGGGCCCACGCACCCTGGCGCAGACCTGTGAGCTTGGGCTTCAGGAGCTATTATGGAACTATTTGGGAATATCCGCTTCTTTAAAAATAAAATGGAAAAAAATAGGGGGTGGGGCTACTCTTTTGTTTGCTACCAACTGATCATAAAATTGGAAACACAGAAGCATTCTGAGTGATGGGATGTCAGGCAGCTGAGAGGATTCAGAAGTGAGGATTCATTTTTGCGCGACGTACATTTTTATCACCTCATGACATTTAATTGTTTTTATAGTCCAGAATATAAAACTTCAAACCGATAGATTTAGTGTGATAGTGGTCACACTCTCATAGAAATAAGTCCTGCTCCCATCACAGCTGCTGTGGCTAACTGTTGCCTTCCTGTGCTGACGCTCGCTGAGTATTGTGACAAATTGACTTCATGATATGAAGTTACATTATTTGAAGAAGTGCCATTAAAATGACAAAAAAAAAAAGAAAATTATATACAGTCACAGTTCAATTACTTTTTCAGGACACTTCTACTGATCCATACTTGCGCTAGTGTGTTTAAAACAATACATTTGAAGGGTCGTCGTCACAAAAGGACTTTGAGTAAAATCTACGTCAATGTTTAAGTCTAACAAAATGATGACACTTCTTTGGTTATTTAGCTGTATTTTGTGTGGAAATCTTCCAGATAAATTTGTCAACACATTGTTACAACAAAGTAAATGATTAGCTAAATTATAAATAACGTGACAAGATGTCAGAGAACCTAACTAATCATCAGACATTGGCCATTCTATTATGTTGCCACAAAGACTGTACAAGTGACCCCCCCCCAAAAAGTTCAAATCAAGGCATCGACCCCCCCCCCACTCAAAAAAGTCTTTTGGCCCCCATTTTAGAGCATCACAGTGTTTTGTATTGTCACCGTCAAATGTGATGCGCTGGAGTCTTTTTCAGTGACAGGTTTGGAAGGGGCGCCTCAAGACACCCCCGTGCAGCTCCACGTCCACGTCGGACCACGAGATGACGTCGCCGGCCAGGTGGTTGCGGCACGACGCCAGGCCCTGGATGTCGGCCCCGCTCAGGACCGAGGACCACATCTGCACGTCGGCCAGCTCCCCCACAAAGGACTGTGTGGCGTCGAAACGCCCACCCAGTGTGTCCTTCAACCGGTGGAGGGAAGGACAAATACCAAGTTACTGAACTTGAGTCGGAGTCCACAAAGACAGCAAAAAACCCCAAGACAAAACATTTTCATAGTGTAAAAGCTAGCTAGCATTGTTAGTGAAGCTTTTTTTGTTGTTGTGCCAAGCTATCAAAATGGATGTTGTGTCCAACTGACAGGAAAAACTTTTGTACTTCAGTACATATCCATTTTTTGTTTGTTTTTTTTAACGAGTTGAATCAGCACTCATACTTTTACCACGATTTATTTAATGTTTGTTTGTTGTTTTTTTTTTGTTTTTTTTTTACACAAGAACAATGAAGTAGTGTTTTGCCGCCATCTTCTGGCTTCTTGGTGCCAGGGAAACTAGGTTGAAGTGAGTTGGGAACTTCATTTGAACAAAAGTAGAACTTTTGTGCTAAGGAACTGTTAAAGTGAGTTGAGTAGCTTTATTTATTTTTTAATTTCTTTTGGCAACATGGTGCCAAGAATCCACGTTTGAGTGAGTTGAGAAGCTTCACTTCAACAAAAGTAGTGCTTTGCTGCCACCTTCTGGCATCCTGGTGCCAAGTGTATGAAAGTAGGTTTAGGCCGCTACTACTAGTGCCAGGGAACTATGAAATGAGGAGCTTGATTTCGTGAAAAGTAGTGCGTTGCTGTTATCTTGTGGCATATTGGTGCCAAGGAACTACGTTGGAATGAGTTGGAGCTTCATTTTTGTCACGTCTACCTCCAAGGCAACACGTTGATTGGATGAATTCATCGCAAAAACTGTCTTTCTCATTTGTTGTCACCTGTTCCTGTCCCAGGACAAAGACCCCTCCTGCTCTGACGGGATGCCAGGGGGCCAGACCCTCGCCGGACCCCCGCAGGTCGCCGTCTTGGTAGGCCTCCCAGTGGCCGTCTCGCGTGGACCACGTCACGCAGACGTGGTGCCACTTGCCGTCACTCAGCATCACGGGCAAAGACACGGCCTGCGACGAAGGTCAGTCACATTTTGCGACAACGGTTAAAAAAAAAAAAAATTAATACAAGTACAAAAGTATTGGGCCAGCTGGCTATTCCTATCAAAATGTACCACAATGCATCACTCGACCCATACTAAGAGTTACAAAGAGGCTAAAATGAGAGCAAAACATCAACTCCATCTAAGTGTTGGACCACCGGCCCCCACCTCACCTGGTCGTCGACCAGCAGCTCCACGGGATTGCCCCCCCACTCGATCAGCACCACTTGGTTGGCCTGGCCCGGTGCCGAGTAGGAGAACGGCGTCCCCATGGCGGGCCCGGCGCCGGCCTTGATCCGCAGACACAAAGTGAGTGCGAAGATCTGGCGCGGCAGCGTCCTCTTGATGCGTGCGTGCATGTAGCCCGTGCGCACGGGGAAGCTCAGCTGGAAGGCGGCGGCCTCCTTCTTCCGGCCCGAACCTGAAGGTCAAGCAAAAGGCACCTTGTGAATGTTGCTCACCTGCAGTGGTGGCAAGTAAGTACAAAGACTTGCTTGCTCAATTTTTCAACAGGGAGTATTTGGCATTTTGGGGCTTGCTGTCGCCTGAAAAGGACATCACTGTGATGTCATTTTCAAATCAGTAGTTCTGCTCTAGGCAGAAAATTTGAACCCGAGTACGGTGTGTGAGGACTTGAGTCTCCATTGCGCACCTGCAAGGTGAAGCTGGTCGAGCATGTTGTCCAGTTTGTTGCCGTGGTGTCCTCCTCCTGGGAGGTCATCGTGACCGCCTGCCTCGTTGTGGTCATGACCGCCGTCGTCCCCGTGATGGCTTTCGTCGAGGCCCTCGTCCCCGCGATGGCTTCCGTCGCCGTGCTCTTCAAAGTATCCGGTGTGGTTGCCGCTGTCGCCGCTGTGGTCATTCGGGTGTTGGCGGTGGTGGTCGTGCGGGTGCAGCTGCTCCTCCAGAGTGTCGATCTTCCTCTGCAGAAGCTCCCTCAGGGAGCTCGAGTAGGTCAGGGACGAGTTCCTCTTCTGCTGGGGAATTGCAAGACACGTTGGGCGCGTGGTTAGAACCGTTTGCCACGTGGCAAGGTGGTCTCGGGTTTGAATTGGTGTTCGGGCAAAGCCATTCTGGGTGGAGTTTGCATGGTCTCTTTATCAAAAAAAAAATATATGTATCATTTACTCTGAAAGAGGCAGGGCCCAAACATTTCATCAAAACAGATTCATCAAATTGTCTTTGATGATGATTATTATGATAGTCTTAATTAACAGACAATGCTTCATCTGTCAGGATTTTTTTAAGGACTCCCCCTTCCTTCTCATGCAATGGACTATTCCATCTTCCTCCTTCAAATAGACGCCTCTGAACAGAGCAGAAACTCGAGCACGCGCCAAAATGTCTTTCACTGTCAAACATCTCCACCGATTGAATGACGCATTTGAATGATCTCTGAGCAACCCAAATCAACGGGATTATTTCTTCTTGTCACGTCACATTTGCGGCGCTCTCGTCGCCCGACAGCTTTCGTCGGGCTCAATCGTACCTGCCCAACAGACGAATGAAAAGTTTGGCGCGGACTCCGGCTCAGCTGCCACCTTCATGAGGGCAAGAAAAGGGATGAATAGCGAGACAATCGCGAACGGTTGAATTTCTGCGCATGTGTGCGGCTCAGCCCTGCGATTGACAGGCGATCGGCGCGATTGGTGCGCTCGAGAGAATGTTTGGAAGCGTTTGTGTGGTCCATTGTGCTCTCGGGTGTAATCCGGTCTTTGTGCACGTGCGCGGCCTAATTACCTCAGTCAAGGCAGATCAGCCTAATTGCTGCTGATCTTCGAGCCACGACCCCGCCCCCCCTCCTGCCCCCGCCCTTCCTCACTACGCCACTCCTGACATGGATCTGCGGTCACGATTCAGCAAAGCGCCCGGGAAGATGCCATCATGATGGCCCGTGGTCAGCGAGTGGTGGGACGCAACCCACTAAGAGTCATTCTTTGCTCTGTTAAAGTCGATTTTGGCGGCTACGCGTTCTGGACTTGAGCACGTGCTTATTTTCTTGACGACTTTTCATCTTGCCAATCCATGGCCGAATGAAAGAGAATCGCCGAATTTTGTGGGCTCAACGAATGATTCTTGTCTCATGTCAGCCGAAAAACCACCAGCTCCATCCATTAAAAAAACCCACAAAAATCCATGTTCAGGGTTTTTTTCTGTTCTTTTTTCCTTCTAGGTCAAGGAGTTCAAAGAGTAGCTCGAATTTGAAGGGTCCCCCCCACCCCCTCCCGCTTTTCCCCGGCACAAGTATCTGTCCCGACGTCGATCTTTTGTCTACTTTTGCCAGCCATCCGTGCCTCTGCCGCGTCTCACCTGCAGGTTTTCCAGCCTGTCCTTGAGCGCCTGCAGCATCCTCTCCATCTGCTCCGATGAGGACGGGGCAGCCCCCGAGCTCGCTTGCTCGACGACGTCCTTCTCTCGGGGCTTTGCGCCGTCGGCTCCGTCCGAGGCGTGGTCCGAGGGCGCGCTCGCTCGGTCGTCATGAGAC